AGGATGATTGCCTCTCAATATATTTTAATATGTATATATTTTATTTTTCAATTTCTAAAATACCTTAAAAGAAATGGTTAGATTTTAAGTTATTTTAACTTTATATGAAGGAAATTTATAGGTAAAATCCTTAACAATTAAAAAATAGATATTTAAATAAAGGATTGCATATTCTCTATTACATAAAGGTCTCAACTTTAACTTTCTTTTTCTATTTTATTTACAAATCATCCCCAAGGTAGATTCACAATTTCAAAATCATAGTCATTTTTCTAGTTGGGAAGAAAGATTCACAATTTCAAAATCATATTCATTTTTCTAAGTGGAAAGACAAATTTGGGTATACAATGCATGAACCTACTCTTTGTATTTCTTTCTAAGAGGTGTGGGTTATATATTTTTATAAATGTGAGGCGAGTTTGGACATTAATGGATTCAAGCATTCAATTTTCAAACCATACTCCATTTACAAAAAGATAAAACTGAGCAAGTTCGAACATTAAGTGTTTGAACTTGCCAAGTTATTTTATTTTCTAAAGTTTTGAGATAGGTCTGGACACCCAATGTTAGAACTTGTCTCCGACTTAAAAAGATGCAAGTGTTCCAGCTTTAGCTATTAATTGTCTAAAGTGGCTCAATTGAATTTTTTTAAATAGGAGACATATCCAAACATTGAGTGTCCAACCCTATCTCACACATAAAAGAACATATGCATGAGGGTTTAGATATCCAACAACCAAACCCATAAAAGTATTCGAAATGGGGTTAATTTGGAAATAAAAATAATAAAAAATCCAAACCTTGGGTAATAAAGAAAATAATAATCTATTTTTTTGATCGGTTAGTATCACATCCACATTATATGGTGCTGGAAGGGTATAAAAGTATCATTCAATGGTTCAGTTTAGAAGAAAAAAACATGGATGACCGCTATTTGTGTATCTCCAATCCCTTCTTTTTTATTATAATTAATGGCTCACTGATGGGTTTTTTCCTATGTTTTAGGGGTATTAGACAGGGAGATCCTGTCTCCCCCTTCCTCTTTACCTTCATTAAACTTTATCTAGATTGTATGAGCAATGCCTACACTCTGGGAATTATACCTCCACGTATGGCCTAATGCTTTCCCATCTTCTCTATGCTGGCGACACCTTGATTTTCTGTGGGGCAGAGCCTGCTCAGCTGGACAATCTATGGTTGTTTCTCATATGCTTGAATGTCCAAAACCCAAATTACGGGAATTCGAGTTCAAGATACTGAGCTTCAGGCTTTAGTGGCTCATTTAGGTTGTGCCATAGACCATCTCCCTTCATAATAAACACCTTTCAGACAATATAATAGAAAATTTATCTTAGAAGCTTTTTAATTGGAAGTGAAGATTCATGTCCCTTGGAGGTAGGGTTACCCTCATTAAAGCTACTTTGACCAATATTCCGTTCTACTTGATGTCTCTCTTCCAAATTCATGTGTCTGTAGCTAACCACCTTTGAGAAACTCATGCACGATTTTCTTTGGAATGGGGAATCCCAAAGGGCATAAATTCCACCTCGTAGCTTGGAATAGAATCTATATCCCCAAAAATGTGGAGGCCTAGGAATTAGGAGGATTACCCTTATGAATTCTGCTTTACTGGATAGATGGTGGTCGAGATTCACCTCCCCAGACCCTCTCCTCTGAAAATAGGTGATGAGTGCCAAATATAGTACTAGTTCCCTTAGCTAGTACTCAGTCTCAGGTATGTGGAGATCTATGTTCTTCTCCAAATCTATCCTAGATATCACATTATATTTAAAATAAGGACTGAGTCTAGAGTTAGATTTTGGAAGGACCTTTAGATTCATAACCAACTCTTAGGAAATCTTTTCTCTTCCATTTTCCTCTTAGCCACATATCAAGATATCTCAGTGGCTACTTATGTGGAACGTAGGGACCTTCTTTGGTTTTGAATTCTATTTTAAGAGAAACCTAAAGGACTTAAAAATTAACTCCCTTCTCCTCTTACTAAACTCCTTCTTCTCAACTCTTTTAAGTGAAGATTCTATCATTTAGACTCCCAATCCAGTTGGGGGTCAATAATGTCTCCTCCTTCTACTCCTCTCTCCTTACCCCTTTGGATCCCTATCCCTTTCTCAATAAATTTTGGTCCATCCGAATCCCTTTCAAAATCCAATCATTTGCTTGGGTCCTTCTTGAAGGCAATGTCCTAACTTTGGATCGACTTAAGAGGTGAGGCCTCTCTCCCCCCAATCGTTGCTCTTTCTACTTACAAGGCGATAAAACAATTCCTCACCCTTTCATCCGTTGTGAAGTGGCTTTTCCATATGGTCTTTTTGCATCCATTAGGTCATTCCTGCCTCCCTACCCCAACTTTTCTCCACCTTGTTCTCATCCACTTTCCTTAAGTAATCATGCCCCTTGATGCATATCTATCTTGGCTCTCTTATAGTCAATTTGGTTAGAAATAAACTTTATAATTTTTGGGGATGTTGTTAGATTAATATCACCCTTTTTTTATTCCAATATCGCATTGATTTCATTTTTGGCAAAAAATATTCTTCTTATAAATCCCTTGCTTTTTCCAACTTCAAGGTTGATTGGAGCTTTATCCTTTTACCCCTGCCCCCTCATTTTTTTAGGGCTGTTTAGAACCCTCCGCCCCCTAGCTTTCTTAAAGTTCACATGAATGGGTTGTCCATTGGAAATCCTGGTCCCTCGGGCTTTAGAGGTATGCTGGCGAAAATAGAAGGTATCTTTCTCTCGTTCTCAGGTCATCTAGGAATTTTAGATTTAACCACTATGGATGTCATTCCTTTGCTAGAAGGACTTAAGAGAACTCTTGTAGCCCACCAATTTGAGGGCAACTTAGTAGAAGCAGATTCAATCAAAACTATTCGATGGGCCTCAAATTTTAGTTAGTCATTATAGCCCCTTGCATTAATTTTTTATCAAATAGCTTTCATCTGCAAGTCCCTTCCATCTATTTGCTTCACATATATCGTCGCGAAAATAACTGAATAGTGGATAGACTCGCGAAAGATGCGACGCATGTAGCCTTAGGTTCAAGCAATTCTTTTCCCCTAACCTCTCTTTTTTTCTCTACTCTCCTCCTCCCCCCCACCCCTCCCTATCAAGCTCTCTCTCTCTCTCTCCACCTCTCTCTTCTCTTCTTCTTATTCTTTTTCCTTACTTCTACACCTCCTAGCCTCCTATTTTCTTCTCGCCCCATCCCTCTCTGATCTGCTCTCAACTTCCTACCCCTTTCAATCCCATTTTTCTCATCACAATCTCTCCCACTTCTTTGTAGGTTATTCAATTATGCAGAAGAATAGACAATTATAACCAACTTGGTTGCCATGGTGTTCCATGGTTGTAGTCTTCGGTGAGTTTTGCACAACACATACTCTCGCCAATATTTTTCCCACAAGTTGAAGCTCAATCCCCATGCTCTCGCTTCTTTCCCTCTCCCTCATTCCCCTCTAGCTCCGTTATCTTATCCTCCTCATTCTTTTACCCCTCTAGCTCTTTTATTCCCTACCAATATTCTCACTTTATCCCTTCTTGTGTGTGGCATGCCCTTCTTCTTAGTAGAGCATACTCCCCATCATAATCAACAACTCCATACTTGGCCCGCTTGACGATGAGTTTATTTTTTGATAATGTATATATTTCTCTCCCTCCCCTCCTGCCCGATGGATTCATTTTCTTCTCCTCCTCCCTCCCCTCTCCCTTTTTGTACTTCGAGCAACCACATGTTGGATGCCTTTTTAAACAATGATTTTTTTTTAAAAAAAATAATTTTTTTCCTTTTAAAAATCTAACAAAAATGATTTTTTTCCTTTTTAAAAAATGATTTTTTTCTTTTTAAAAATCTAACAAAAAAGAGTGTTCATAAGTTGACAAACTTTTTAATTGATAATTTTGACCTCGAGATGTATGCCTATAAAGAAAAAAAGAATTTTGAGTCCTACAAAGTTGTGTATCTTATAACAAGATATCATACCATCTATTTTCAAGATTTTCAGGTGTTTGTAAATCTGCTTGATATGTTATCATTTTTGAAATTTAAATTTTTTATAAATAGAATTGAACATGAAGTTTTAAGCTATTGTAAGATTTTCAAGATCGGAACTATATTTACCAGCAAAATTTACATATGTGCTTTATTTTATAATTTAAGGTACGTACCTTATACAAACCTCACCTTAAGTTTATATAAGATTGCAACCTTACACAATAAAGTTAGGTGCACCTCAAAAATCAAGTAGAACAGAGTGTTTCAAAGTTGGAAACCCTTCCAATTGATCATCTCGATCTCGAGATATATAGAAATAAAGAAATAAAACAATCTTAAGTATTGAAAAATAGTGTATTTTGTTACAAATTATCCAGCCACTTTATTTTCAAGATTTTTAAGTCTTTATAGATCAGCTTGATCTGCACAAATTTTAGAATTTTAAATTTCATAATTAGGGTTGAGATTTTCAAATCATTTTAAGATTTCCAGTATTGAAATTACATCTTTGAGAAAAAAATTAGGGGTGCACCTTACTTGTTTAGTATAAGGTGAGGATACATACAAACGTCACCCATAAATAAAACAAGAGAAAGTTGTTCATGCGTCACAAGACGCATGATTGAAAAACCAGCCTTTCTCCTTGTACTTTTTTTATTTTCTCAATGAATTTCAGGTAACTATTTCCAAAAAAGATGGTATTGAAAATTGGGCAACGGTGTCAAATTTATATAAAAAAGTTTCATTTTTTGTTTTACAATATATTTTATTTTTGAGATTCATACCCATCATGATTCAGATTTTCATTTTTTTTAAATCTATTTTTTAAAAAAATTTAAAATCTACTTCTAAAATATATTTTGGAGAGAATACTCATTTAAACAGATTAGTCAGCCGATTCATAGAAACCTTGCCCATAAAAGAAACTTCAGATCTTATGTGCCCTTTCCTCTCGCGGAGGGGTACGTGGTGCGCTCCCTTTATTCAAATTCAATAATCGCTCAAATTTGTCTCTTTTCCTTTCTTTTCTTTGTTTTGCGGAGGGCGCTCGGCTTAATATATCCAGGCGAGCTAAACCCTAGGTTGTACCCGTTCTACCGCAGGAGCAAAACCCAAGGTCTCTGAAAACTACAGAGTTCATACCGGAAAGCTATTGATGCCCTAGAAATGCAATCTTGAGCTCTTCTTGCTCTTTCAAGGCAGCGATTCACGGTACAGAAAACCGATATTGCGCTCATCTCAGTCTTGTAAAGCAGCCATTGATGACTAGAAGAAATAGTTTTGAGGTTTTCTCTTAGTCCTTGTGCTTGATAAGCTGCGATTGTTTTACTGATATATGCTGAGATTTATCAAATTTGTTATTGGGCTCTTCTGAATTCTTTCAAGGCAGGCATTCGTGCCCAGAAGGAAACAGTTCGAAGTTTTTCTGACTCTTTGGAGGAAATAGGTTTATTTTTATTTTTGTATTGATAAGTAAACTTTATCAGGTTTTGCTTTGGGCCCAGGTTTCATAGCTCTAGAACAACAATTTTAATGAGCCATCGATTCCCCAAAGGAACAAACCTTTGAGTTTTTTCTAAGCCTTTTGAAGAATTAGGCTTACTGGCTGTGATAAGCTGAAAGAGATCAAGGTTTTCTTTTGAGCACTTATCAAAATTTCAAGGCATCCATTGATGCCCAGCAGAAACAAATTTGAAGTTTCTAAGGCTTTTGGAGATTAGGTCTTCTGATGCTCATTGGCTGAACTCGATCAGGAATTTCTGTTTCTTTATGCCCCAAAGAAACAATGTCAATATTTTTCTAGGTCTTCAAAATACCCACGATTTTCTGGTGTTGATAGCTCGAAATCAATCTAGATATCTTTGGTGACGTGTGAGTTCCGGAGCACCTGAACATCCATGGCAGATCGCACAGCCATGGTTGCCCGCCCCATATGGATGAAGCAAGCAGAGGAGGCAAAGCTCAAAAGTGAAGCAGAGAAAGCGGCGGCTGCAAAGGCTGCCTTTGAAGCCACCTTCAAAGATGTCGAGAAAGTTGCAGAGAAAGAGAACTCTTCATCTGATAGTGAAGGTGAAGAGAGTGATCTCTGTGAGAAACCTATAGGACCATTGGACCCTTCAAAGTGCTCAGCTGCTGGTGCAGGAATATCAGGAGGTGCAGCTTGTGCCCCAATCTCCTTTGTTGTAGTCACAAAAGACTCAGATGGTCAAAGAATCAATAAAGGAGGGGCCAAGCTCAAGGTCAGGATCTCACCTGGTGTTGGGGTTGGAGGTTCAGAGCAAGAAGGGATGGTTAAGGATCAAGGTGACGGGACCTACACTGTAACTTACGCAGTTTCAAAGAGGGGCAATTACATGGTTCATGTTGAATGTGAGGAAAAACCTATCATGGGTAGTCCATTTCCTGTGTTTTTCAGTGCTGGTACCCTTTCTACTGCACCAGGATTATTTGGTCCAGCTCCTTCCGTTCCTACTTCTTCAAATTACCCTAATCTGGTGAACCAAACAATGCCCAACATGCCCAATTACTCAGGCGCTGTTTCTGGAGCTTTTCCAGGGTTGTTAGGAATGATGCCTGGTATAATTTCAGGGGCTTCAGGTGGGGTTGTCTTACCAGGGATTGGGGCCTCTCTTGGCGAGGTTTGTAGGGATTACTTGAATAGTCGATGCCCTAATAACCCTTGCAAGTTTAGCCATCCTCCCCATAATTTGTTAATGGCTGCTTTGGCAGCAAGTACAACGATGGGAACCCTAAGTCAAATGCCCATGGCTCCTTCAGCGGCTGCCATGGCAGCTGCTCAGGCGATCGTGGCTGCACAGGCCCTTCAAGCTCATGCAGCACAAGTGCAGGCTCAAGCCAAGGCCAGAGGGGATTCTCCTGGTTTGTTTCATTCTCTTGTTTTCTGGTATTTGTGGTCTCTTATAGTTATATTGACTTTGTAGAATCTCTTCTGTTTTCTCGTATTTGTGGTCTCTTTTAGTTATATTGACTTTGTAGTAGCTCTTTTGTTTGCTTGTATTTGTGGTCTCTTTTAGTAGTGGAGTAGCTTGCACTTAAAGTTTCAGTAGTTTAAGGGATTTGGTTATGGTATGGATATTATTTTTTGGTTATTTTCTCCAACTTATGTCTAGTATAAGAGATATGCATGTTCTTTGTTGCCGACAAGTATATGGTCGATACCTGTTGATTACATTTAACTGTTTGCTGGCTGTCCTATTGATTTCATTCATGGGTTATCAAAATATATAGCACTTCTATGGAATGGCAATAACATGGCGTATTCATTTAGGGATCTGGAGGTAGACAGCTACTTATTGTAGGTGTTTCTGGTGGCTATGATATGGAGGCTCTGGTTCATGCAACTACTAATCTGGGGGCTTGATGATGGTAGTTGGGTGTAATTGAGATTGGCTGTACAGTCATTTATGTACAAATGCTCCTTGGACTAGCCATAAATGGTCTAATAACAGGGATTTGGTCATGCCATGGTTGAAAATTTTCCTTTCTACTTTACTTCCTAAAGTGGACTAGGCGCCTATACATTAAGTTTTTATGAGGCTTGCCTTCGATTAGCTCCAATGGGAGCATGGAAATGGCAGTGTTTTTGGGAGGTTATTTGTGATGAAAATGGATGTTGCCATTACTATTAATTGGATTGATTGAAATTGTAGGTCATCATAGATTAGAGCTCAAGCTCTTCTCATGGGCATTGCTATTAGCATCCGCCGCCCAAAAAACTGGTGGTATTCAATGTGACTGATCCGGCTAAATAAGGAGTGAATAGTCAATTTTAATATTAGGGAATGCATAGGCTCTTGGAATATTTGTGTATCCTTGCAAAGGTCTCAAATTATTTTTAATTATATGGCATTATTGAACTTGTACATGCCTGAAAGGAAGCTAAGTTGTGGCTTGTGTGTTTTATTTGACATATTTGAGGTTTCCCAGGTTATGCATGAATTGGTGTTGGCTTTAGTGGGCTTCTAGTTCTGTAGATCTCTACTCTTGAAGATATTCCCCCTTGGCTATTTTGTGGGTTATATGGAAAGAAATTAAAACATCGCGAGCTATCTACTCTTGAAGATATTCCCCCTTGGCTAGTTTGTGGGTTATGTGGAAAAAAATGAATACATCATCAACTTTTGAACGTATTTACTTGAATTGCTTGAGATGCCCTTATAAGAGTTAATGACAAGAAAGGGGAGCTGAAGAATCTGGGTTCCTTAAATATGATAAAACAAAGAATCTGGGTTCCTCCTTTAGTTATGAAATATATTTCTGTCTTTCATTTTTAAAGCCTCATGATATCTGAAGGTTAGGGTTGTTGAGTGAATCTATGTGTTAATTGTTTAGTGTAAGGTGGTTCACTGAAGGTAGTCACATGATGCTAGTTGCCTAGAATTTTCTTGTTTTGGATGAATTGTGACTGGTCCTTGGTAATCACACTGGATATGAGAGGCAGGATATGGATTTGCCATTGAATCTCGGAACTATCTAGGGTATTGAGGTTTTTGGGGCCGTGCAGTTTGCGAGGAAAGCAGGTAGCAGCATTAGGACACCTTGGTGTATAGGTGCAGAGGTTGTGTCATCAACACCATCTAGTTCTTGAACAATAAATTAGGTGGGACAAATATTATAGCCAACATCATCTAGTTATCCATATTGTGTTTGGGTTGGTGGACCATCTACTTTAAGAGCATTTACCCCTATTGGATGCTTCTTGAATGTCTTTGTTAATTGGTTCTCCGTTCACAGGTCTAGTTTTTTGCTGGCATCTCTCACTTTGACTTTGACCTGATGTTTATGTCATCATAATGCTCTTCTATTTTCAATCCTAAGTTGGTGCCTATGTGTGTTTCAGTTCTCTTATTTGGGGCGGATTTTATGTGGTGTTTGTGATTGTGCTCCCCTTGTGTGGGTGTTTGGATGGCTGTGGTCGGGTAGGGGGGTTTAGCAGGGAGGTTTGTGATGTCAATACACTTTTAGAGGGTAAATAAGTTAATACTGTCACGTCAAAATGTATTTCAGCTTTTGCTCCATTGGAACACTGAAGCACTTGTTTGCAATCCATGTTTGTGAATTTGGGTAAGTTTGGCATTAGAATAACCTCTCTTCTTGCATGTGTACTTGTTTGCTTGGAGTTTTTTGCTCATAGACTTGGATTAGATTCAAAACAGCATGATATCATGACCAATGTTTGGCTCTTATTATTGTATTTTATTGGGTCATGATTTGGGAACTAGAAACTATAGATTATTGAAGGGTTGAAACTTTACACTAGCCAGTCCTTAGGTTTGACTCACTGGTGCGCTTGCTGAGCGAGGTAGTTGACTCCCTTGCATAATGGGGAATCAGTTGCTGACAATTAGTTGGTGAGATCCGATTGTGTTATTATTATTGGTAGATGCATCTCTCCTAAGTGTTTCAAAAAGAGTTTCCTTTACTTGCTTTTGTCACATGTATTTGCATCTATGTGCATTCAAAGTTTCAAACAAACATGACCAATTCTAGTTTAGTCAGAGAAGATCAAAACAAAGGACTGGATCCTTTTCTTTATAGAAAGTTTGACTTTGTAGTGATATTATAAAGGATTTACATGTTCGTGTGTATCAAATTCTGGTGCAAACTTGGAACTAAAAGCAAAAACATAAATGAATAATTTTTACTGTGGACTGCACAAGCATCCAGTTCATAACTGGGGTCTGGTAATAACAACAACATTGTTCACAGCGCCTTCCTGTGCAAGGCCATGTGCTAGCATATTTACCTTGTGCTACATGTGGTTTGAAGATACTTGCCAGGTGCTGCTAATGTGAAATGTGTGATCGAACAGTTGCTCCAACTGACAGGGATAAAGTGCCTCCCATAAAGCCGACCTAATGTTGTTCTTTGAATCCTCTCTACCTTAAGAATCAAGAGCATGCCCACAACTATGATCAAGCAATTTGAGGCCCTCTAACAGCACCATTTCGCCTTTGTAGAGTTCGCTGTGCCAATGGGGGCCGAATGGACCAGTAAGGTTCAGGTCTATTTGTTCTAGAAATCCCTCCCACACCATCGGAGCTCGGAGTGCCAAGAGAGCAACCTTTTAAGTTTAATTTGATGTCACTGGGAGGCAGGGCCTCAGGTCGATCTTGGTTTATTCCTCAATCTTGTGCAAAATCTGCCATCGACTAGCCTAAGAAAACCTTTTGGTTTTGGGCTTGAAAAGCAATTGTGGCCCTGATAGTATCCTTTAGAGCTCCCACCCAATCCAAGGTCGCATACTAGAGGATTAGCCTAGCAACAATGTAAGGAGAGGAGAAATGGCCTGAGAATGGCTGTTTCATAAACAAATACCAGAATCTCTTACCCCTAGTGACGTTTCGCTTTGGAATCCTGATTCGGCAATTCCATCAAGGAATCTTCATGGTACCTGTTTTTTTTTGAAGTTAGGGAATCTTGATTCTACATGTATTGAATCTCAATTCAATTTTTTGGAATCCGGATTCCATGGCATCAAATACTATGGTTCCTAGGTGCATGAAATCGTGTTTCAGTCGATATGGAATCTCACTTCGACTTTTATAGAATTGATCTGATTTCTTTTGGGATCACGTACAAAGTAGACATCCCGTCAACTAAGTAGTATATTGGAAAATAAATTTAGGGATTTTTACACAACTGGCTTTCTTAGTGCTAGAACTTGCAGACTGCTTAATGAGAATTGGGGAAGAGTATTGAGTTCGATTCGATTCCCATAAATTACAACATAGAGCATCATAAAAGGCAAGTCTCATTTTGAAGTATATATATAAAAAACAAAATCTCATTTTCAAATATCTGTATGTTTGTAAAGACAAACATGACTTAGTCACTAGTGAGACCGATGTTCAAGAAGGCGGAGGTGGCTGAAATGCTGAATAGGCGGTCTTGGGTCCTGGCTGCCTAGGCAGGCACCTAGATATTTGCCTGGCCTGCATAATGGGGGGGCTCCAGAGTCCAGACCCGTGCAGATTATTGGACCCCCACTGTTTTTTGAGTATAGAGTATCATTTTTTTGTTTAATAAACATCATTTTGTAGTTTTTTGTGTATAATTTTATTGTATATAGCTACAGATTGAGCTTAAACATTCATGACTTTGAAGTGTGAATAAAATAGCTAAAAGTAACATTAAAAGAATAAAAGTTAGTAGCCATAACTGTCAAATGTTAATTTTCATTGCACTTATCCCAAAACTTGTGAGTGCAATGGAAACTAACTGTCCAAATGTATCCTTACTAGAATAATTATTTCTAGTTTTTAAAATTTATTTATTTATTTATATTCATGATCTCCATGTTAGAGATTACATGTCCTTAAAAATTAAATCTTAAAATCCATCTCAAAAATAGATTTATTAAGAGGCCCGCATTTCTACATATGCGGGCTTGGCTGCATAGAAACCGGGTCCGACTATCAAATGTTAATTTTCATTGCACTTGTCCCAAAATATGTGATATCCATTACATCTCGCAACAGATAACTGATAAAAAAAATAAATAAGTGACAATTCACAACTCAAAGGCATATCCTGACAAAAATAGTCTACTGGATAACAACTATGGTGAACACAAATATGAGGTTGATTTTCATCATCACTGGTATCATCACGCCCACGTCCACACCAGCATGAAATGAACCTGAATCTGATGATGTCAAGCCATCATCAGAGTTAGTCTCTTCTCCCTCTTAATAACCTTTGTCCCTTGTCTGCTCTGGGTCTGCCATCTCCTCCCCTTCGCCTTCTCCTTCCCCTTTCCCTTCTCCTTTGCCTTATCCTTCCCCCTTTACTCTGAGTTTCAGATCTTGTAGTTCTCGTGAGGCTCGATGCCTTACTAGCCGCCTCATGTACTTGGA